GCTTCAGGCTCTCATGATCAAAGCTTTCATCACACAGACCTATCTTGGTTGGCTATCAGGTGTGAACCTAGTCAGTTCAGGCTGGAGCAGGCTTGGTTGCATGGCTGGCCTGGGAGAATCTTGGGGCGACGGCGCGGTTGCATTCCTGGCAGTTCTTCCTTGTGGTGCGCAGGGTCCTGGTCGTTGGCACAGAACGCTCACTTCGCAGGTTGTCTCCAGAAAACAGGTGGGAAACATGTTCTGGGGTTGATTAGGAAGTTGCAACGAAGGTTTGACCAGCATGATGCACGGGAAACAAGCTGCCGTTGCACTACACCTGGCTTTGTAATTACCCGGCGTATCCACATGAAAGTGAAAAGGAGCTGTGAGCGCTTCGGACCTTGAAAGCTTGAAACTGACTGTGAGAGGTTTGTGAATAACCTGGAAACTGCTGGAAATCCCCATGGCACCTGAGGTCGCCGTTGTAGTCGACACTTTTGCGGAGGCGGACTGGACGGCTGATTTTTCACAGGTTTGGACGGTTCACTTCATAAGATGGAGACGGGACTGGACTAAACCAAAATATGTGACCACCAAAGCACTCTTGATTCAGTGTGGTTGTTGTGTTTAGGTACGTGGCTGGCATGTGGCCCAGGCTACATTTTCTTGACCAAAGGGCTCAACATAGGCTAGCTTCCTCCAACATGGGAAGATCGGGAAGATGAAACCAGGTAAATTCTTTGACTGAATTCACAATCAAAATCCTCGAGCACCAGAAATACTGTACCAAGAAGGTTTGGTTCTATATAAATAACCACTGACCAGACGAAATAGCTAATCAAGATCAACATGCGAACCAAACAGAACTATACTGTACTGTAATTGCTTCGAACAATCAAACCAACGACAGCCTGTAGACTACAGCCATCGAAACGTTGTGTTTGGAAAAGGCACATAACTGCCAACAATATTGACAAAGTCCTGAGAACAACACAGATTTCATACCAGAAAACAAGTTATATCAAGTTATAATTGCCAAGAAAGAAATCCATAAACAGATAAGTCCCCAAAAAAATGCGATTCCAAAGGAAGGTTGTGATTCCAATGCAACTTATGTTTCCAACGTTTATGACTCGCCAGAAGGTAAAGATTCCTCAAAAGCCGTAAAGTCGGCGTAGGCATGCGTAGGCTATAGTTTGGAGGAAAACACACTTAAGGCTGGCAAGAGCAGTATCAGTTGACGAAGTCCCACTTTACTGCAGGTAGACCTTTCCACGCAATTAGACCTTGACTTGAATCAACTGCAGGAAATGCTGGGTCGGCTCAACAGAAGGTTTAACACAAGTGCACTAGCCCTTTAAAGGAGGTTAAAATATTTGGCAGGTACTTGGAACTGGCGTCCCATTTCCATATCCTCGGATACATCGCCAGCTTCGTTGACCAGGCGACGATGTATCCTGCCTGGTCCCCTGTGGCGTTCCTTTGGAACAGGTGTTGACACACACACACACACATATGTACAGCCACCAAAGGCAGTTTGACTGCAAGAAAGGGCCATAGTTCAACAATCACCGATGACTGCAACAACTTTCCGATTCTGAAAAATGTTTTTTACTGCTCAAGAACCATAAGCGCCAAAGACAGTCCTACTCCAAAAAACATCAAAAGCAGTTCCGAAGACACATCCATACTTCAAAAATTTACTTGTATGATTGTAGAACGAGTTATGCTTCCTATACAAGAGAAGCATAACTTGTGTTTGTTTTGAGAATATGTTCATTGCACGATTCAAGCATTGGGTTTTTTGAAGGTTTGTGCATGCTGCAGGTTCCAACTTAGCATGACATATATCAAACAAGTAAACAGTTTGCATGTTTGCATTTTCATGTCTATTTTTTGTTTGCGTGGCTTGCAAGATGTTTGATCTACGTATGTGTTTCTTTATTATGATAGGCAGGACATGTTCCAAAAATGCAGTTGTTGTCAAAGCCATTTCGTTTCTTCCAGAATTTGTTATATATGATTGTTGTCTCTTTGGGGATCAACACAGTTTGGGGAATCTCAACTTATCCGGTGAAAAGCCTCTCTTTTGGATTTGTTGTTTGTGTTTTTTTCTTCCTTTTTGGCTTCACAACTCTTGTATAGAATCGCATGTTTTATTCAACATTTTAAGAACTTAATTGTGGCAGGGCAACTTATGCGGGAAACAACTCTTTTTTTGTGGACCTTAATGTTTTTACAGCTGTGGTTTCAGTTTTGTTCCCAACGGGTGAAGATGTTTGGGGGAAACCTTTTCATCGAAGCCGGGCATCATGGATTTGAGAGACTGAGAGCAGAAGAGGGACGATGTTAAGTTCCGTGTGTAATCAAGTCAAGAACCCACGTTCTGTTTTAACGCAAACTCACAGGCCGTCACTTGTGAACTTTGACAGGCGAGACAGAGGGATATCTTGAACTTGGCGGAAGAATTGGAGTACGATTTCGCTTCTTGGATTGTTGCATGGGTGAATTGCACGCGCTACCCCCTATTCCGCCTCATTTCAATGTTGACAGGTTTCTGAACGAGGTTGGCCCGAGTGGATGAACCAAATCAAAACCCTGGCACCTGACTTTCCTTTTTAGAACAATGAAGTCGGGGTGCAGGGTCCATCTTCTGTAGTGCGCCAGAACTCTTTGATCCTGAGGAAAAGGACAGGAAGTTCCTGAAAGGTGTCTTCGACCGGATGGATATGGATGGAAGTGGACTGGTCACCTTTGAGGACTGCGAAACAACCCGGACGTGACAGCTGCGGTAGATGATTGTGACCCCTCGCAACTCAAAAAGGATACAATGTGATGAAACAACAGTTTGTTGTTGATACTAGTGTTGATACGGATCAAAACGGTGAACCAATTTGAACATGTGTTGGATTCATTTTCAATCATAACCATGGTTGTGAAATGTTGTGAACCACTAATTATACAGAACCATGTGTCACCAACTTCAAAATACAACAGCAGAAATCATACAGGGAATGGTCCAGTGATTGTTGCGTGTTTAGTTTGTACCGACACACGAATGTTGGGAGACATCCAACAGCGTTCGCACACAGTGTGGAATCGTGTGCGACAGTTGTTCTCGGTTTGCATACCATTTGAACAACAACTGGCAATTCCTTTAAGTGATTCTGTTCAGTCGAGAGCTACAGCAAATTGGAGTCGATGTTGATGCTTCAAGTTGCATGAGCTGAGAAGGTGCTGTGTGATGCCAATTGCCTGCTTGGTATTGTACAACAAACCAATATCACACAATCCTTCGCCATCCGGTCGGTATGGTCTTTCCAAAAGCTGGGGTCCCCTTCCACGCTGAGGGGTCGAGAAACCAACGACTCTCCAGTTTACTAGTGTAATCTCTGGAGGGTCCATAGGTCCATAGGTTCCTAGGCCTTGCCACATGTTGCTACTGTAGACCACTCAGTCTGGTCGGCTGTTCCAATCGTCCCATTGGCAGCGCTGTCCCATTCATGATTTCATGACCTCGCTGTTTGGGCTCAGAGCTCGCCGATGAAGGGAAGAGACATCGCTCCGGAAGATGAAGACATCGCAGGGGCTGCTCTCCCCGTCGGTTTGAAGGAAGAGGAGGACGACATGTGGCCCTTTTGGCGCACGCGCGGGTTTGGACCACAACCCCATTTTTGTTGATTCCGCCGGGGTTCAATCCAATGCAACTTTTGTGTCTACTCATTTTGCGGCAAAGAGAAGGCCTGCAAGTGGGGTAGGGGCCAGATGCAGAGGAATTGCGCTGTTCACAGAATAACTATATAATCAATTACAATTACAATCAAACCCTTGCAACAAAAAGAACGTGTTTTCATCTCCCTGGTTTCATATTGTTTGATTAGCGCAAATATTGAAGCTACTCGTCCGTGATGCAGCACGCTCGAAGGAGCTCGTGTTTGAGGCCCGGTTTCTGGACAAGAGTGGGGAGAACGACGAGAACATCGTCGTTGAGAACGAAAGCCCCGAGAGTCCAGAGAAACCGGAGGAAGTGAGAGCAGAGAATGTTCCGTATGAGAAGTGCCGATGGGACTTCTTCCTGAGTCTCCTGGCTTGGAAGCTGGCAACTGGGTTTTTTGTTGGTTTCGTGTTCCAAAGTCAATCATGGAAGGAGTTCAGCACGTGTGCATCATGCAAGTGATTGATCAGTCCCTCATCCTTTTCAAAAACTTTTTCCCAGCGGTGTGCAACTGGTCTTTTCCTGCTTGGCTGCCCCCTTGCGAAAGGGCCATTTTGAGCACAGTCGTCGTGGTGGGTCAAACACTAGCCTCAAAGGCTCACCGTTTCACCACGTGGAAAGCTACTGTTTGCTGACCCCTGAGTTTGGTCGTTCAGGCGATTTGGTCATGTCATTCTCGAACTGCACCTGTGGGCTAGAAGTTAGCCCCACTTGTGTTCAACATGCCGGTGGTTTTCGGACATTTTGATACCTCAGCCTCTAAGATTCTCTAAGAAGTCTGACTTGTGTGTGTTGCAGGATTTGAAAGGACCACAAAGTACGCAAAGTACTCAGTGTTTGACAAAAACAAGAAAGGAGGCAACTGAATTCACCTGAAGATTTGAACAGAACCCACTGGACAATTGTTGCAGGCTTAATGAGTAAGCACGACAGGAGGGGAACAATTGCTCCACTTTTTGGGGTGTAGAGCTTTCGGGGATTCACGAGATGACCTTCACTGACCAGAGTTAAAAGAGCAGCGGAGGCAGAGTGACTGAAGACGTAGATGGTACTGATTCCGACATTTTTAGTACCATAATTTTTGAGCTCCAAAAAGCGTACGACTAAATGGACAGTAGTAGTGCGAGGCCGCCACGGAATGCAACTTGGACAGTGTATATATATATAGGTATTTTCTTGTTTGTGCATGCACAGAGCTACTGTATATGGACTGCCACATGTGTACGTGAATGTGCATCCATTTCGTTACATATCATTGCATGGAGCTAGAGGATTTTGGTTTAGTATCTGAGTGGAGTCCATGCCCATGGAGTCCTTTATTGGACACCCCAGTGTGGGCCTCCTGAGCCCAAGCGACCGCTGCACGGGCACCGGAGGCCACAAACAATCCAATGCCCAAGACGCGGTGCAGAACCTACGTTTGGCGCTTTCAGAACACTTTCTGGGTGCATCCTTCTGGCTGGATATCGAGCAGGACGCCACAGTTAGTCCTTACTTGGATCTTTTTGGTATTCACCAAATTTATGCAGTAGTAGCCGCTTGCATGGTGCTGGGTTTCATCTCAATTCTATTCAATATTCTGAACGTGAGTATAGTATTCCCAAAAGACCATTTGCAGAACTAGTTGAAGCACTTTCCAAACTAGCACAAGACTGCACAAGAGACGGTACATCCGCACCTATGCAATATGTGTATAACTAATATATATATATATAGTGCATGTGCAAAAGTCATGAACAATTATATATATATATATTCAGAGCGCCTTATTCAAGGCCTTACCGCCCCAGAAAGAAGCTTTGCTTGCGTTCCATTTTGCAGGACCCGACGGTGAGGGGCATGTGCTATGGGGTCTCCCATTCGCGCAATGTCCTGATCTTCCTCACAGAAGGGATCACTGACAGCAAGTTCTGCCGAATGGAGATGCGGTGGGCATTGGAGGCGACCAGTACCAGTTGGTACAATCAAATTTCCAGTTTGCCGTCCCAGAAGACGTCAAAACTGGGACATGAAGAGATCCCTAGAAACATCTCTGACTTGTATACTGCGGCAGACTGTGCAGAGATTCCAAGGCTTTTCGTTTTGGGATTCAGTCAAATGAAATGAAGTCATTTGGTTTAAGTGAATTGACCGGTTGGTTCTTGCTAGAAGTGAGACTATATTGAATGGTGGAGTTGCATGCTTTTAAAATGTGTATATGTAAGATTGATGTTTAATTACTATTCACTCATGAAATATGAAACACCTGTACTTAACACAATAGCTTTGTTGCCAAGCAGTTTCCTTTGCCTGCAGCAAGCTGCTGAAAGTTGCCAGTTGCCTCAACCTTTTCAACTGTCCGACTAGACTGTTTGGCTACATTCACCATCATTTGCCTGGGTTTGGACGGAGGCCAACCGAAACTTGATTTTAGTCAAAGAGACAGATGACCGTCATGGAAAGCCCAACATGGAGACGCTGATTGAGAGGCTTCCCGGCTGATGTGGGCTCGTCAGTCGTTTGGAAGCGAGACATATAGGGAATAATAATGGCCTCCAACCTAATTGTAATGGCCTCCAACCTACTAGTGATGGCCTCCACCTATTTGGGGACCTTTGCTGAAAGCCATGAAGAGTTTTTGTTCGTGATAGTGGCAGGAGACCCATCAAATGCATGCTCCGTCACGGACTGGATGTTCTTTCAACGTCCGTTTGTAATCACCCTCCCAAAAACAAAGGATCATGTGTGAACCTGAGTACAACCACAGGTTGGACCAGACAGTGGCAGGTCCAAGCCAGACTGCGTTTCAGTGTTGCGCCAGCCTCGTCAGATTGGTGAAGCAACGCACTCTTTCCACTACTTCTAAGTCTGGTCCTGAAGTCTACTTCATATTTTTTGTTGGTGATGTGTCTTAAGTCTACGTGATGTCGTGAAGACACATCCCAGCATCTATACTGGCCAAGAATAGCCAAGACCCACGACGACCCAGGTGCCCGGACGACTTGAAGCATATTTTTTCTGAGACACTTGGCCTGTCAGAGGTGGACAACGTTATGATTACCGTTATGGAAAACGGTGGTCATGATCTTCCCAATTGTTGGTGCGGAACTAAGGAAAACATAACAAAGATGCAAGAGAAAAGCATCGCTGAGAGAGTATTTCTTTGTAGCAATTGCAAAACTATCAAAAACAGTAGTGAGCTATCATCATCATCCTGATCATCGTTTTATTCATCATCATCATCATCACCATCATCAAAACTCATCACTTGTCACTGTAAACAGGCAAAGCCCAAGGTGTGAACCATGTGAACCATCACTAAGTGCCCAAACAGGGTTACCCCAAGTCTTGCAACTTCATGGACATGGTGCCCGAAGTGCAACTGCCACATTCAGTCAGCTTCTCTACCACATTCAGCCGCTGCACCTCTGCTTTTTGGGTGGTGTCTTCCAACCCACACGTGGACAGCTCGTCTTCGTTCCCTCGCGTCCCCACGTGGTCAGGAATGTCATCATCCCCTGGTTCCGGGACCCTGAGTTCCGTGCGGTGAGCGTGGAAAAGATCCTGCAGCGCATCGCCGTGGACCCGCGCCGCACCGAGTCCACCGGGCGGCGGTCAGCCAAACCTTTGGTGCCACTTGGGTCTTAAAGACTGGGGGAGAGTGGAGATCAAGCAAGAGTACCACAACTTATAGGATTGGATGGGTTCAATATGGTTCAACGCCTTCAGACAACCAAAAAGATACGGTAGTTACCAACCAAAAATCCTGCCCCGCTTGTTTCAGCAACCAAACAGATACGGTATTTCTTGGTCCAACGCCTTTAGACTTTCAGATGGCAGTTGCATGAAATTGAACACATTCTTATTAAAGCCGGTGCTAGTGCTAGTCCTTTGTGACGTGCATTGCACCAACAAGAGGTTCTTATATACATATTATTATCTATTGCACAGATAATTAGTGGTTCTGAAACACGTACTGCGTGGTACTGGCTGCTTGCTACATATTGTTTGACTCCGCGGCTGCTGAGGTATGGGAAAGGCGGGGAAGGAGAGGACGCGGAGGTCTTTGATCGGAGCTTTGTGATCTACAGCGTCATGTTTGGTGTGGTCTTGCCTGGAGCCACTTGAAATGATTGAGCGGCTGCTGGTGATGCTCAGTGATACTCTGGAAGTTGGAAGTACACTTGTTAGATCTTGTTAGTGTTTGGTGCACGCGAGTCGCGGCTGCAGCTGCAGTCTATAATATAAAGTGACTAGCAATTTACACAGGAAACAAGTTGCATGCACCAGTGACAGGATTTATCAGAATTCAATTTCTTCACCCATTTGTGACATCCTGTGGTCAATGTTCAATCTTGATGATAAGTCAATATCCTCCTAGCAAGATTGAATCAGAATTGATTCAGGGCAATCCTGGAACTCCCTGTAACAATGAGGAGACACAGTTTCCACACAGGCACAACATTTCAGGAAAAAATATGAAAAGCACATTTTACTCCACCCCATCATTATGTGTATATGTAGAATTCTTGGAAGTTTGGACGTTTGAAGTTTGTTTTGGGAGATGTGTTGTACTTCCTTTCGACGAATTGCACGGGTTTCCAGGTACTCATCATCCACTCGCTTAGAAATTTAAGCAACCCTGGATGTTGGAGAGTGATTGACAAATCAAGGCAGGATCCAACACTCGTCGATGGGCTGCAGCGGTGCGAATCATCATTTTCACTTGTGGTGTCCTTTGCACTACCCGGCTCTTCACACCTGAAGGCACTGGTTTGCAACCGGGAGACCATTGTTTTCCTTTCTGTGGGGGAGGAACTCGGAGGAATATATACATATATATGATATATGTGTTTTTCATTGTAGAGAGGAACGCAACATGAAGTGCATGAATATGTTATAGAGAAGTGTCTAGAAGCAACCTATTTTTGGACCCTCTTCCGATTTCCGATTTCTTTAGTTATGCCTCTCCATAATCACTCCAGTTTTGGACCTTCTTTACAACTTGCTGGCTTTGTTTTCGGCCCGTTTGAAATTGTACATTTTTCAGGTGCTCCAAATCACGAAAGGTAGCTTGAGCTACCTGAGTTCTCCTTGCTTTAGCAAAAATGTATTACAATCAGGAGTTGGGATTGTGCATTGAGTTTGGTCCTGTAAGAGTTGATTCTGTTTGTCGGGGGGGGGGCCCCCCCCTGGATCAAATCCCCCCTGCGCCGGTTCACGCCGTCATGGACTTCTACCAGGTTGCTTGTGATTGCCGGCTACCTTTCGTTCACCCCCTCCTCTCTCAAGTTATACTATTTTGCTGGCATTTGGTACAATAAATGATACAATTTATACACTTAACCAGCTGACACAGATGCTACCGCAATAGAATATACAATTGCATCCAGCTGATGCAAAGGATGCAATCATGAAGGATGCATTTCGACATAGACCGTTGACCGAAGCCGTTTGTTTGCCTTTCATGGACCTAGTGATGCAAATGATACGATCATTTTGACAAATATAGTCAGACATACATGATATGTGAACACCATGTGTGTTTTCCATGTTTTCGCCAATTCATAGAATATGCGTTTTCATTGATAAAACAAGAAAGACCCCCTCGCCCCTAGCTAAAGCTATATAGCAATGAATGCATAGCCAGTCAGAGTTTAACGCCTCAGCACCTTCGGTGCAGGCGGATTTCCGGAATATGGTTTGTTTGGCCAGTGTAGACAGCAAGCCGTGATGGGATTTTCACACACCCAGCAACTTTCAGTCACAAGTTCTTTGTTGCCTGCGTTCCGATTTTGGGTTAGAGGACATGGCGGGAACCGCTTTTGAGGTTTGTTTGTGTTTGTCGTTAGTTCTTTTGTTGCGTTTGTCCGGTTTGAAGTGCCCTTCCCCCGATCAGCATTTGAGGCAACTTTTCCCGGCTGATCCCTTTTTCGTGGATGCCCACATTGATTTTAGCTCCCGTGTCTCCGATCTGAGTCTGTCGTTTATAACTCTTAGTGCAGTCGATCACCGTTACGTTTTCAAGTCCTTTACACCTTCTTTGTGGAGTGCATGGTGGGTTCTTTCAATGCGTTTGTTATTCGTACAAATCAGAGATTTTGGGAGACCAGACATTTAGACAGTTGTTACTAGTAGCTTCTTGTTACTACTAGTAAGGCCAGGAGCCCCTAGTAGCGTCCTTGTTACTACTAGTAAGGCACTTGTTACTAGTAGCGATGCACTTGTTCCTAGTAGATCCGTGGAAACCGTCCGGAGATGTCCAGTGACCTGTCATGGCTGGAGTTGTCGCTTGTGAGGCCTGATGGTGTGAGAGGCTACATCGCAGACTTTGGTTAATTAGATGTTCTTAAGACTCAAATCGTCTTGAAGCTCATGAACTTCATGAACTCCAAGACAATAATCCCACTAGCATCCACTAGCCCAAAATGCGAAAGACACTGTAAAACGCATAGATTTCCAGCCCTGGGCAACATTTACCCAAGACGTTGTATTTTCATGCCGAACTGTTACAATAATTTCTGAGACGCTAGTATGGTGCTTTGCACAGTACAATCACTAGTGACTAGTGTCAGTTACTCAATAACAAGACTCAAGACCATCATCCTGGTTTGCCCGTTCCAAACTGGGCAAAACACTGGAGCGCGGGGTGTTTCTGGAGGCCCGGGGTTCTTGGATTATGCCACGATCATCCAAGCCGTGACAGCGCATTTCATGGTTTTCTTCCAGCTGCATGCCACTGGGGCTTGGGATGAGCGGAGGTGGTCCGTATACGACTGGAGGACGAGGTGGTCAGGTAGTCCTTGTCGCAAAACTTTTGCGACGCGAAATGCCTGGCACACCATTTTTGTTGGCACAAGGTTTTTGCTTTTGCACTTCAAGTAACCATCTCGTGTGCCCATGGAAAGACCTTGTGTAGGGTCAGTACAGTTCGCACAGTGGCCCAAAGCCACTTGGGTAGGACCTCCAAGTTAGTTCTAGATTCTAGATTTGCAGCACCGCATGATCCACAGATGAGTTATAAAGGCTCCCACTCTGCCCGCAAGGTTATGTTGGATCTTCTTCGCTCGGTGGAAGTTCAAGATCTGCTCGAGAACCACATCGACTGTCCCAAGGAGGTACCAAACATCACTCTTGCTTTTATGCGCAATTGTTGCGGGTGCGATTGCTTTCTTCCCCATCCACAGATCAACCTGCAGCAAAAGGAACGGGACAAGGTCTTTTCTTTCTTCTTGAATATGGTTTGGGGCTGAACGGAACACCGGTGTGGTTCTTGTTCTTTGTTTAGGACTGTTCTGCCGTTTCACTCAGGCCACCTTTCTGGTCCAAGCGTTGGTGTCTTGGAACCCAGTACTTGACCCATTGACTCGACCATCGAGTCTCAAATGTACAATTAGTTATACAGAAAGGGTCGCTGTGGAGGCCTCGGTTTTTACACACGTTCAACACACAATTTCCAACTGTTTTTGAAACATGTCCACAACGTATTAAATACGTTATTAGGAGCAGAATGGCTAGAAAGAGGCAGCTTGTCCACTTCCGTTCCAGGGGAATATGCTAACTCCCAATGATCTGTATATTTATTTTGACACATTTTGTGGGAGGAAAAAGGTTTTTTAGACCGCTACCGAACCGATACCAAACGATACGATATTTGGAGACATACCTCAGAGGCCCAGTCCTAGCCACCTCCCCATGTGTAGAGCCACAACTTATGCTACTAGCGTCTCCTCATGCGTGCTGAAGGTAATTGAAATTGTTGAACCAATGGCTTACACGTGGGAGCTTCCAAGAGGACACATAAAGAATCCTCAGAGAGATAGTTGGGTTTTTGTTGATTGGGACTGTTTGGAGTGATAGAGAACTTGAAGAGCGATACCATGGCAGCAGAACGACTAGCATATTTTGACCGCCACGCATGTTATATCTGCATATATATAGATATCAGAAATATATACACATATCAGACCACAGTAGGCTCAGAAATATTCGGAGTAAATGGCAAAAACCTCATGAAACAGTCTACCTAGGGACCAATCCAACAGCATTGAGTGTTGTGCCTTCATTTGTACTTACTTGTTCCTTTTCCAACCACTCATTTTTCTCCCAAGAATGGGCACTGGCAGGGGAAGAAACTCAAGTTCAAAACCAAAGTCCTCACAGCTATCGTCTTGCTCTTGACGGCCGTGTTGTCTTGCTGGGGCTGGGTCGGTGCCATGGCCACTGCAAGCGGATGGGCAGACTGGGCTGATGTTGGTAGGTTTGAAGCAAGGTCAATGTTTCCTTGATGGTATTTTCTCTACCTACAGGGTTTTTGTGTAATTCCTCTAAAATTTGGCATGTCGAACTCCTAGTTTGTGTTTTCGACAAGTCGATGTCGAAGAGTCACGCCCAGGGACATCCAGTAATTCACTTCCACTGCACTACAGGCAGCTGGCACCTAGCCAGGTGGGTCAAAGATTTAGCTGGCAGCCGGCATTGCCCCAGGCCGCCGAAGATCACGTTCGGTGGTGTACTGTGTACAGCCTGGGGACACTTTAGCAGCCAGAGACCCCTTGACATCCCTGAATAATGATGCCTTACTCAATGTATATATAAGCAGCACTGACACGAAAGAAACAGATGGAGTACTTGTGTATCCGAGTGCCTTAATCGCACAACAGTTCCAATCAGCAAGCAACAGAAAGCAACACAGCGAGGGCGCAAGTTCACACCCTTGCAATCATACCAGCAACTGGCCACCGGGCAAATGTCAAGTGTTACAAGTTCAAATAACCCCAGTAATCAGTTCACAAAGTATGTCCCTCAAAGCGCTGGCCCATGGGTTTGCTGTATGGATATTCCTTTGGAGGTTAAAATTGCACCTCGAACATCATGCGTCACGCGACGCGGATAAGGGTATCACATATGGAGCGAACTGACAGGAGCCTTACCTGTGAGGCGGCCTCATGGGACAAAGGACAAAGTGCCACAAGATAGACTACAGTACCTTCGAGCAGAACGACTCCCCCCATCTACGATCCATGAAATTTCAGGCAGACAGCGGCAGATGCTTTCTATAGAAACACACTTAAGTTTTATTCCACACCAGCACTCATGCCAAAATATATCAAACTATGCCAAAACAGGTAACAGGAGCTAAAAGTTTGATCTTCCCCTGGTTTTGGCTTCCTTGGTGACCCAACGACATCCTTCCGCTTAGTGGCCCGATTGGTCCGACCCGGTCTGTCGACCAGGTCGACAAGAAAACCCCGTCTAGCATGCTGGGCCGTCGTCACATGCCGAAAAGAACCGAAGGCTTCCTTGAAAAGATGCACAAGAATTATGCTTGGATCCAGCTGTTGTAGTTATAGAGGCGTGAACCACGGGGCTTGACACTTCTCATTTCTTCACAACTACTATCAAACCATGCTGCCTACCAGGTTACCTTCCTGGCTTTTGGCACCCGTACTACATGGCCAGCGGCAACATCTTCATTGCCTACGGTGCCTTAGCTATTTTGGCGCTTTGGAGTGATCACGTAGGTCTGGTAGGCTGTGTACAGTGTGAGATGTCTAACCAGTTTGCAGTTGGTCCCAATGGACATCATCATCCGCTGCCTTTTTAAAAAAGGAGCTGAGCAGATGAAGCGCATCACAGCACAGCTGGCCAGCACACAGATCAGAGCACTCTCGAGATCTGATTCTGTTTTGGATAAAGGGTAAGCGACGACCAGTGAGATCAGGTATTGCTCATGGCTTGGCCTTCTTGCTGATTCTACCAATTTTCTTTGGTAGCTACTTCGCCATTCTCACCATCATGTTCACGCTTCAGGAGATGCACCGGACCCTTTGACCAGCAAATCAGACGTGACACGTGGAAGCCAAATGACACAGAAGAACTTGTTCTTTCCGAATTGGGCTTTTTCCCTGGTGGAGGCCAAATGCGGTTCTACCACGCCCTAAGACACCCCATATTGATACTCCAATTGAAACAACAGAAGCAAATGTTCGCCGGTCACAGTAGGCCTTATATAATGGTGCCAGATGCCGCAGCTGGTGCATTGCATTGATGGCTGTAATGTGAGAGCTAGGTGGTTCTGAACCGGCAGGAGTTGTGTAACATGGCTTTCCTGACAGCCTACAACGAGCTGAATCTCGTGTTGGAGGAAGAGGGCCTGGAGGCGGTGGCGCTGAAGGGTGAGGGCATCAACGTCAGCGAAATGGACCTCTACTGTTTCCAGGTGCGACAAGTTTGCCACCGCATCGCCGGACCAGCGTCATTGGCTGCGGGGCGTCGTTGGCCATCTTGTGGAAAGAGCCGGTGGTACATGCTTCGTGTGTTTCTGTTGGATTTCAAGTGGAGCCTCCAGCTTGAGTGTATCAGCTGACATGGTTTGAGCCTGGAGTTGCTTTCACTGGTTTCACAAGGTAAGAGAAGAACGATGAAGAACGCTTTGAGCTTTGAAAGGGAGCCGAGCTGGATTGGCTTGGCCTCGACAGGTGAAATATGCGAAGAGCTGGGACCTGTACAAGAAGATCCTTGGCCAAGCGTTACCATGCTAGCAAAATCTCAATACAGAATCCTTTAAACTTAAACTATCTTAAACTGTATTGAGACTGGTTGCAGCATGTTGCAGCATGACACTAACTCCTTGCTACAATGCTTAGATTTCCATGCTAGCAGGGTATCGATGTGTCTCAACAATAGTATACCCTCCCAAGGAACGGGTTTAGGATGGGTTAGGTACCTTCTTTGTTTATGCCTAGGGACTGAAAACCGGACCCACTTTTCTGACATTTTTGGACTCCACGACTGGTCATGTCATCGCATGGTGTTGGGGGGGGTGGGGGGGTGGGGTGAGGGTCAAATTCCCCGCAGTGGAGCGTGTAATGCATAGTATCCCTGGATTCAACTCACAGTCCAACAAGGTTGACAAGAGCGAGTGGGCGAAGGCGATCGAGCGGCTGTTTTCACACGCACATACCTTGAGCCAAATGTTATGGCATGTCAATGCATTGCGCAAGAGCATATCGCAAGATACTGTAACCAAGTTGAAGCAATAGCGTAAATGGGGGCCCAAAAACAGAAAACATGGGGGGGGGTGCTGTAATTTCGTTCTTGTTTTTACATACGTCTCATGAGCATGAAGGCTCAAGAAGTAGCCATGGTGTGTGCTTTAGTTTTGTTGTTTCGGTTGTCGGGTGTTCCTTGTCCTCCTCGTTTTTGTGTTTTCTTCCTTTGTGGTGCGTCAGCCCTTTTTCTTTAGAACAGTACGTAGACGGCTTAACTCGTGATTGTTCTGACCCTTGAGTTTCTTTTGTTCACGAAACAGGTTTGGGTTCAGATCGTGGCTGGGTAAACTGGGAGCAGGTGTTAGAAACTCGTTTTTTCGTTGTTCACACTTTGGTGCAATGTGTGGTTGAGCTTTTCTTTTTCGAGAAACAGAAACTAAGTCCTTTTCTGTTGGTGACTGTTGGTGTTGAGTTGGCGTTTGTTGCGTAGTTGTAGCAGCTCCATATCGGATGGGTGCGCCGCCGCTGATTTGCTCGACAATGGCATCGATGAAAAAGACTTGCACACGGAGCCTGACTGGGGACAGCTAGTTGCACAAAAAGCAGGCAACTTGAGGTGTCGCGAAAAAGACGTTTTTTATTTAGGCAAAAGGCATGACAAAGCACTGCGTTTACCAATGAATTTGACATGAGAACCTGCAAAAGAGGGTACGGTTTCCAATCCGTACGGTTGTTTATTCATCCCCTGTACTCTGTTGATCAGAAAGCCGATGAGCGTTTTGCTGGGTCGCAATGCTTTTGCCGGACCGAGGATCCAGCGGCGGACGGCACTGCCGCTGTTCATTTTTTTGGGCCATCCAGTTGCTTCTGTTGAGCTTTGCCAGTGTTTGGCTAGGTGTTTGGAGGTGTTTGGATGTGTTTGGTGTCTGGAGTCGAGTTCGGATGTGAGTTTCTTGTGACCAATCTGGAGAAAGTGGTGGATTATGGTGGATTGCATGGAGAAAGTAAGTGCTTATTATTTGTGCGCAGAAGGAGCGGAAGGAGCTGGAGAGATGAATCCACACAGTACATATCCCCTTGCTTCTTTGTGGACCCCCCCGAGCTCCTCTTTGCTTAGAACTTAGAAAATTGAACAACTTATGTTCATGATGAACGGCTGGATCCGAGATACTTTCATCCACTTGGGTGGCTGATACTTCAAACTGTGAAAGTTGTTGCGTTTTGTGCTTAGGGAATTTATATAGATGAATTTACAGTAGTGTATATATATAATGCTTTACAAATGCGATCAAATGCATACATTGTACATACAGATCGCCAACACACCATTCAGGTGAGGAGTCACACTGAACGTAGCAGTCTTTGCATGTATGAGTTCTACCTTTCACCGGCTTTTCCCAACCGACTGCTGAGTTGCAGTCAGGATTTGGTCCGTTTGGAGCTTGGCACAGGGCTTCGGGCCAAATGTGAACTTGGTTGAGAGATAGATCATTTGGATGTGCTTTGGACTGTGGTTCCTTTCGAATCCTATCTGACTTAGGTTTCTAAGAGGCTGGAAGTTCATTGCATCATGTCAAAAGTGGCAGACTCTGCCTCAAAGCAGCCTTTGCAGAAAAATCCACTCAGCTGAGGTGAGTGATTGGAGACTGCCGCAGCTTAAAACGTACTGGACCCTCGTTGTGCGGCTGAGTTGGTGGCTTGGAGGCGTGGGTGTTTGCATGTGCTGTTGGCCCACGTGACAGTCTGGGAAAGACTTCAAAACCAAGGGGCCCAGGCACTGTTGTTTACAGAGCCAACACTTGCATTTGTTGATGTTTGTTGACACTGTATTTGTTTCACCTATTCAGATATACAACTGCTTGCTATTTTTGAACAATTGATCTACACCCACACCCACAAAATCCGTATCGGTGACTGATTCCCATATTACCATATTATGGTTATCGTCGTCCTTGTATAAACGATATTTAGTCCACATTTGCTGTTCAGATGCTTCTGTCAAGTCTTCAATTTGGGTCCTTGTGTGTCCCAAAGCCATGCAAATTTAGGTCCCGTCCTGGAGTTCAGTGCTAGAGTCAGATCTCCTTGAGGAGTGTGCAATGTTTTGCCGGTGCCTTGAACCACATCCATCCCAAGCTGACATTGAAGTGTTCCCCTGTGTTCACATGTGCTCACCAGTGTTCAACGTCATAGTTCTCCTATAAAATATTAATATGTATTTAATGTATTTCTTTTTGGTTCAAATCTTTCGGGGCGGAGTGTTGCTGGCAAAGACAGAGAAAGGGTTCAGAGAGGTCACTCACTGGACGACAGACTGCTGACGACTGGGAGATGAAAGGCGGTTATAGGATTCATCAATCTCCTGCAGCTATCATCCGGCAAACTTCCTCTTGGAACTTGAAACCAGGTCACTGACATTTTATGAAGACCCCTCCAAGACTCCCTGAGGCAGTAGAGATACATTGACCAAACTGATTGGGGGGTGTCATATCTTCCAGAAAGCTGGACGCATCTTTGTTGTGGAAATATCTCATATGTCTTCCAGTTAGTTGAACCTCTGCAAACATACCGGGAATATACTTACTCCGTGTGACACCTGTGCAAATCCATGTGCATTGAATGACATGGGGTGCATTCGTCCCTTCTCTTTGCCCTTCGCCCCATCCACCGCGCAGCAAGCCCTTGGTTTGGGGTGGCCTGCTGGATTACGGCCTTGACACCATGGTGCGCGGTCTACTACTCCTGGAAGATGAGCCTCGGTCGAGTCCAGGCTTCGCTCGGTCTACTGATGTGGCCCAGTTATTCGCATGAGACATGAGTTGTGTGTGTCAAATCTCCAAGCATAGAAACAGTCCAAGTCGTGTCAAATAGCTGGTGGTCATGGGATTCGATCAACAGTCTTGGGATTTCTTGAAGATTCGTTGGTTGCTCCTAAAGGTCCAGTACAATCTGCGGAAAAATAACACAACAATGATAAGCGTTTCGGAGAGATGATACTCGTGTCGTGCACATGATTTGTTGCTTCAAATTGTTATCATCGAGTTTCCAAGGAACCAGCTCAGCAAGAGGTTGATCTTCAAGAACCCCATCAACAGGCATGCAATCCACATTGCTCCGCAGCTCTTGACTTTTTAACTACAGGACGCATCATGGGCTTAGCAACTCCCCCAAGTGTTTAATGTGTCGAACATGACTGCCCTCAACTATCAAGAGTACAGTACTTCGAAGGGTTCCAGTTGATGCTGCTGAACTTGAATCTTGAAGTTTGGAATTTGCTTAGATTAGCCTCTACTTGAGCTTGTTCTGAAATGTTGTCCAACAAGATTTGCATTCTTCCTCCCGGATGCATTTCATTTCAGGACGGTTCTTGTCTCCAACTGCAGAGTTTCCTTACTGCTGGAGCCTGGAGCCGTTATATTTCCCAGTGTTAATGGATCTACTGAGTTCATGCTGAAGTTATGTCAAATTGTTGTCAAATTATGTAATTAAGTGAAAGATAGTGAAAGGCCCAAAAAGGCAACCAATTGGACCAACATCTCTCCACTTGGACAAGGCATCCGCAGCTCTCTCTCATGTCTAGGCGGGAGCTGCTGACCTTTCTGGCGAAGCTGCCACTGGAGTTTCGCTCCGGATTTATCCAGGCCACTCCCCGAGGCGAGGCCATCGCCTAAACCGCTCGCCGCGCAGACGCTCTCAGTGGAGAAATAGGGCAAGATCAACCTGGGCAGACTAGATGGAATGGGATGTGTGTATTGGTTGTGCATGTGTCAGTTAGGTCTTTGGCTAGTTGATCATGTGAGCCACGGGTCTCCAAATTAACTAATTGACCCGGGACAGTTACATACATATCAACTGCCAGGAAAGCGAACATTGCAGTAACATACACGTGTTGTTGGGCTTTTGTGAGACTATATTGTCAGGGTGGTTCAGGGTACAAAACATGGGTGCGAGCAGAGGTCAAGACCTGCTGTGCAAAACAGGAGTAAACAAAGGGAGGGAACACCACCTTGATTGATCCCGCTATTTGTGTGGCTAAAAGGAATGTGGAACGGAGCTTTCGTGCAGGTATCCATCTTTGTAACCAGAACCAGTTTCATGCAATGCTCTCAAAAGCACCACAAAGGGCGACCCTTTAAGGGCCTTTGTGACTCAATTTGGGCCTTTGAAGGTTTGCTGCTCTTCCTGCCGATGCTGGTGTTGAACACCTTGGGTTTTGTGGCTGAAGCGACGCGCCTCTTCGCTTCCTTGTGAACGCTTATTGGACGTCATGGCTCATGGATCCATGACATGTGCCACGACTCCTGACTTTGGCCGAACATCAACTGGGATTGTGGGGGTGATGAACCATGTATCATACATATTTAAGAGTCCCAACTGTTCATCACCGAGCTGGTTTAAAGTTTCCTACCCGGCTTTTGGTGACTCAAAGACATATCCACAGGATGGCTCTCAAGAATCCCTGAGCCTTCAAGGTGGATGAGGCCATTGCTCGTTGGGGCCCTGTGTTGCGCGCTCACTTTGATCACAAGATCCAGATCGGATCAGTGCAG